GCTCAGTGCCAGGCTCCACACATGCCCTGCCCACTCCCAGCCTGCAGATCTGTCCCCTGGGGGTGACGGAGGGAGAAAACTCTCTGGTAAACACCCTCCCACCTGGCTATGGGGCTCCAGCAGCAGGGATGCCCCTTGTCCCCCCTGTCGTCCCCATCTCACCACCCTTCCAGGCTCCCTGGGGTGGCACAGAGGTGGCAGGGATGTCTCAAGCTTTGGGCACAATGCCTGGAGAAGGGCTAGATCCAGAGGCCAGGGTGACTCCACTCCCCTAGGTTGTTCCCCTCCATGGGCAGGACCAGGAGCCCCCTCCCATCCTTCCTAAGGCCCCTGAGGGAGCCCTGCAGGGTGGTTGCCCATGAACCACAGGGAGCTGGACACAAGCTTCTCCGAGGTGGAATAATTTACTGTGGTGTGGTCATACATGGGGTTCCTGGGCGGGGTCTTGGCAAGGGTATGGGTGGGGGTTGCAGCGAGGCTGGGCTAGGAGCTTGAAGCTGGAGCCTCGCATTGAGCCATCAAGGATGGAAAGGGTGGGGGAGCTCCAGGCACTTGGCTGTGTGAGAGGGATGATGTGTGGGGACAGTGGGGCAGGAGCCTGGGCTGAGGGGGGGTCTCCTGCACAGGTGCAATGATCCAGGGCTGGGGCATAAGCTTGGGGTTGGGGCATGGGATGATCTGGAGGGCTGAGGGTCTGGGACATGTCATCAGAGAGCTGGGAGAGGGACAGAGGGGTGCAGGGTAGGGGTCTCAGGTGAAGCCAAAGGGTCCCAAGAGGGCCAAGCAGAGATCCTAGGTGCAGGCAAAGGTCCCTGGGCTGCCAGGCAGGGGGTTTGAGGGTAGCCAAGGGTCTCTGGTGCAAAGCAGGGTCCTGGGGCACAGCCAAAGGGCTGAGGAGAGCAGAGACGGGGTCCTGAGGTGCCGCTGGGATGCCAGAGGTGCAGCGTTGGGCCAGTGCAGGAGTCCTGGGCCAGGGCAGGGTAGGCAGAGCCCTAGTGCTGCCCGGCCCCATAGAGCAGGGGGTGGTAGAGGGGGCAGGGGTAGGAAAACATGAACTTGACGGCAAACTTCATCTCCTTGTTGTGCTTCTGCCAGGGGTAGA